TCAGAAGGGGTATCGATGTTATTCTACTGAGCTTGGCAAATATTTAGTGTCAGCTGATGTGGTATTTTTAGAGACTACACTATTCTTCTATGCACCTCCCATTTCTACAAGCCAGGGGAGGAAGATGAGTGGCTAGTATATCAGGTTACCCGTACTTTGACAGAACAATCAGATGATACTCTTCGATCTCCCAGTTCTTCTATTGAGCACCAATCGACTATTATGCCTTCAGTACCTGCTCCAGCAAGACCTCCAATTGTTCAAGTTTATTCGCGGAGGCGAGAGGCAAATGATACATCTCCCGCACCAGTTCCTGCATCATCTGATTCTTCTTTGCCTGATCCTCCAGATAACCTTGATTTTCCTATTGCTCTTCGCAAAGGTACACGTACTTGCAAATCGACATATTCAGATGATACTCTTCGATCTCCCAGTTCTTCAATTGAGCACCAATCGACTATTATGCCTTCAGTACCTGCTCCAGCAAGACCTCCAATTGTTCAAGTTTATTCGCGGAGGCGAGAGACAAATGCTACATGTCCCGCACCAGTTCCTGCATCATCTGATTCTTCTTTGCCTGATCCTCCAGATAACCTTGATCTTCCTATTGCTCTTCTCAAAGGTACACGTACTTGCAAATCGACATATTCTGTTGCTAACTTTGTTTCCTATGACCACTTATCCTCTACGTCTAGATCTGTGATTGCTTCTCTAGACTCCATCTCCGTACCCAAAACAGTGAAGGAGGCTTTGAATCATCCCGGATGGTCTGATGCAATGCTTGAGGAAATACATGCTTTAGAGGACAACCACACATGGGATTTGGTAGATTTACCAAAGGGAAAGAAACCAGTGGGATGCAAGTGGGTCTTTACCGTTAAAGTTAATCCAGATGGTTCTGTGGCAAGACTTAAGGCCAGACTTGTGGCGAAAGGGTATGCTCAGACTTATGGGGTGGATTATTCTGACACCTTCTCCCCGGTTGCCAAACTCACTTCTGTCCGCTTATTTATTTCTCTAGCTGCGTCCGAGAATTGGCCTTTACATCAGTTGGATATCAAGAATGCGTTCCTTCATGGTGATCTTCAGGAGGAAGTGTATATGGAGCAACCACCCGATTTTGTTGCTCAGGGAGAGCATGGGAAAGTCTGTCATTTGAAGAAGTCCTTGTATGGCTTGAAGCAGAGTCCACAAGCTTGGTTTGGCAAGTTCAGTGAGGTAGTTCAGGAGTTTGGGTTGAAAATGAGTAAGTGCGATCACTCAGTCTTCTATCGAAAATCAGTAGCTGGCACTATTCTCCTCGTTGTATATGTTGATGATATTGTTATCACAGGAAGTGACTATGCTGGGATTTCTTCCCTCAAGTCTTTTCTGCATACTAGGTTTCATACAAAGGACTTGGGCCAGTTGAAATACTTTTTTGGAGTAGAAGTAAATAGAAGCAAGAAGGGAATTCTTTTGTCTCAGAGAAAGTACATTCTTGACTTGCTTGCAGAAACTGGAAATTTGGCAGCTAAACCTTGCAGTACTCCAATGGTTCCTAATGTGCATCTTATGAAAGATGATGGTGATCCTTTTGACGATCCAGAGAGATACAGGAGGTTAGTTGGGAAATTAAACTACCTTACTGTGACTCGTCCAGATATTGCTTTTGCGGTAAGTGTTGTTAGCCAGTTTATGTCTGCACCAACGGTCAAATATTGGGCAGCTTTGGAACAGATTTTGTGTTACTTGAAAGGAGCTCCTGGACTTGGCATATTATATAGCAATCACAATCATACTCGTATTGAATGTTTTGCAGATGCTGACTGGGGTGGATTGAAAATTGATAGAAGATCTACTACAGGTTATTGTGTCTTTGTTGGAGGAAACTTGGTATCATGGAGGAGTAAGAAGCAAAGTGTTGTATCTCGATCTAGTGCAGAATCCGAGTATAGAGCTATGTCACAGTCTACATGTGAGATTATGTGGATACATCATATGTTGACTGAAATTGGGTTAGAGCATCCAATACCAGCAAAACTCTGGTGTGACAATCAAGCTGCCCTCCATATTGCGTCAAACCGGTGTATCATGAAAGAACTAAGCATATTGAGGTTGACTGCCATTTTATTTGTGAGAAGATTCAGGAGAAGTTGATCTCCACTGGCTACGTGAAGACAGGAGAGCAACCGGCTGATTTGTTCACAAAGGCGTTGAATGGAATTCGAGTTGATTACCTTTGTAACAAGCTGGGCATGATCAATATCTATGCTCCAGCTTGAGGGGGAGTGTTAGATAATGAATGTAGACATAAGCTGAATGTAGACATAATCTTATGTAATATACATAGCTAGCATAATTATAGGGATTCACAGCAGATTTATAGGATTTCCTTTTTTATTCTTTCCATAGTTAAGGCTCTATATACTTGTATATATACTTGTTATTACTTGAATACACACAAGAGAGATTTCTCTATTGTCTCTATACTTTACACCTCTGAATATTGGAAGGAACGTACCAATTCAGCAGTTTTGGAATTGCCTCAATCAATGTCTTGTGAGTATCATTTTCATCAACTGCAATTACCACAAGTTTCAGAAGTTTCAGCATTGAAAGGAATGGACAGTTTAAGTGCTTTACCGTAGACTTGTCGTTGAGATAAATCTTTCCAGGACTTCAAAGAAAGCATGTTCCCAGATTCCAACGTAATAATTACGACTTCACAAAGTAGCAATTGGGAGAAACTTAAGTTTTTCACCTCCACATGCATATAGGCTCTCAAGACTTTTCTGGAGCACTATCCTTGCATAATCCTCCAAGAATTCTTGTGTAGGGGACTCTCTGATCAGTCCAGCCTGGCAAAAGCGTCAGTCACTTTCAATGGCATAGTTTATAGTACATGCATAGCAGTGAAAAGTTTTAAAGCTATGAATGGGAAAATGTAGCCTATGGGCCATAGAAAAGCAAGAAATTTTCTTTCATAAAACCTGAAACATCTGATGCAATAATGTGCCAATCAATGCTGCAGCTGAATACTCGCCAGATTTTAACCTCTCATCCAGCACAGCTCGCCTTGAGCAACTGAAACTGGAAGCAACCTAACAGAGTACTCAATGTTCAAGAACAATGGAGAAAGAAGAAGAAACAACTGATGGAAGCAAGACTTTGCAGAAGCTGGAACAGTGAAAGACAACAGGTTGAGTAATCGAAACAAACAACTGAAAAATAATTGCACAGACATACCCTTGTTCCAGAGACTAAAATATCTGGATGAACAATGAGAAAATTCTTCTCGCGGTTTATTTCACATTTTCCTTCGCTGTCAAACTCACCAATGACATGAATAGTATCTCCTGGTGCAACAACACTATAGCACCTGGAAAGCAAGTAATTTCCTCATCATAATGTCTGTCAACAATTAGAATTACAAAGCTTAACAAGAGACGATCTCTGGTCTCTTCCACAGAAGGTTCATACAGATGATGAATTAGTTTCTCACAACTGGAAGGTATTTTGATCAAATGAAGCAATGCAGAAAAGCGGCTGGGACTAAAACGTTGTCTGCTTTAGAATTTAGGATAAAGATGCCTTTGTAAACTCAAATGCAAAGACAAGAAAGACATAAAAGCTACCTCAACATCAAAAGACATGATGCAAGAAGAAGGGGGATAAAACTAGTGTTTGGAAGGTCATCCGAGTGGCAGTGTCACTGTAATCTCTGTTTGTTTAGTTCACATGATAATCTCATTGGGTCCATTACAGATCCAAAGAAGCAAATATTAGATATAAGTTACACAATGCACATTGAGATTGTTGTTCTGCATGACTAAATATCATCACAACTGAACTGTCGGTTGGGAAGATGATGTAAGAGTAGCAAAAGTATTCATGTTCGAGTAACAAGTCATTGTGAACAGGAAAGCCCATCCCCCATGTTGTCTACATTCTACTATAACAGAAATAGAGGAAACTATTCAAGAGTATTGGTCCTCTTTAACGAAATAGCTTGATTGTGAATCTGTGTTTTTAAGTATATTTAGCAGATTGATAATAACAAGCTCGGGATCTTCTTCACTTGATGAACAACTTGAGATAGAAAGATTAAGAACTACAGCCCTTGAACGAGACAACGAAGAAATTAACGTGCAACTAGATGGCTTAAAGTGGAACTAGATGACTTAAGGAAATCAATGCAGAATCTGACTAGATTGGTTGAAGGCTTAGCGATTCAAGATCAGCCACCAAATCTTCCACAACGCCTACAACCTCCACCGCCACCAAGACACAACATACCCGTGCTACCGCGACGTCTTCCCCTTCGAGATCCACCAATTCAACCGCGGAGAGCAGGACATATTGAGCAAGCGGAAGAAGTTATAGCTGACCAAGGCATGAAAATACCAAGGCAGCATGCTCACTATGATAAAAACTCATATTCGGAATATTCTGATAATCAAGGTAGTGAAGAGTATGACTCTGATGAAGTTCAGTATCAACATGATAAAAGGAGATTTCAGAGAAGGCCACACAAAAATAATCGAGAGAGCTATCAACGTGATGACATTAAGCTTGAAATTCCGGAGTATGATGGCAAATCTCAAGGCGATGAATTTATTGATTGGCTTATCACTATTGAGCGTGTTTTTGATCATAAAGAATATTCTGATGAGAAGAAGGTCAAGCTTGTTGCTATAAAACTTAGAGGTTATGCATCGCTATGGTGGGAAAACCTAAAAAAAGAGCGAGAGCTAGAAGGAAAAACACGAATTCGCACTTGGGAGAGAATGAAACGAGAATTGCGCAAACAGTTCTTGCAAAAGACATATGAAGAAGATTCTTACTTGAAGTTTCATTCTTTTAGACAAGGAGCTTTATCCGTGGATGAGTACACAAGAGAATTTGAATATCTTAGGCTCAAGAGTGACATTAAAGAAAAACCAGCCCGCCTATTGCTCGATATTTGGCTGGATTAAATAAGCCTATTGCGAATGTGATACGATTGCAGCCCCATTGGACCTTTGGAGATGTTGTCAAACTAGCCAAGGTCGTAGAGACCAACAGAAGGAAGCCAAAGCCACGTTTTCATCAACTACCATAAAAAAGCCTAACACGATGGAGTGCTAGTTTGAGCTCTACAAAGCCACAATCATCTACAACAAAACCAAGTGTCCAAAAAGTTGAAGGGAAGCCTATGACTTCAGAAGCTATTTTTAAAAAAGGCAAAATACATACTTTACCCATCGACCTTGTCCCCAAATCCCTCTTACACACTTGTTAAACACGGGAATAATATTACACACCAAAACTTTTAAAAGTGTATCAATTACACACCACTTCGGTGTTTGACCACATCTGCTTAAAGATTGCTCTTACACGTGCCAATCAACATCTGACACGTGTCAAATCGAGAAAAAAAAACCTCTGCCCCCCTCCCCCCACCCTAAAACCCCCTCTTCTCATCTTACCAAAGAAAAAAAATACAGAAAAGAAACCCCCCTCCCCCTCCTCATCTTCCCAACCCCATCATCTTCTCTACCACCACCATACTACCACCAACCCTTCCACCACAAGAACCTTCTTCCCTAACTATAAATTCAATTCTTTGCCGATTTTTAACAAGTTTTAACAACATCCATCACAAATCCTTATACTAATTTTAAATTCAAGCTCAAACCAAAGCTTCAAACTTGTTAATGGTGTTTTTTAAATTTTATCAAAATTAATAACATAAGTAAATTTTTACTCAACACACGAATTCAAACTAATTTCTAGGTCATGGAATCGAAATAAACAAGACCCGACTAAATTTTCAAGCTTTTTCAAAAAGTCAATAATGGTGATTTTTACAAGACCCAATAGCTCCTATGTTCTTTTTTTTTTCTTAGTCATGGGGGTTGGAGAGACGAAACATGAGGGGTTGATAAAACTAGGATGGGGGTTGGGGAAGAAGACGAATCGGGGGGAAGAGGGGGGGAGGAAAGGAAACGCTGGGGTTTGTGGTTGGGGAAGAAGACATGTTATATATTTTTTTTCTTTAATTTGAAAAGGAAATAGTTAAAAAAAGGGAAAAATAAAATAAAAATTTAATTTCAGGTGAATTTTTTAGTTTTCACGCGCCTCTTTTATGTGTAATACACGCGTGTGGCACATGGCAGAGGTGTGTAATTGACACACTTTTAAAAGTTTTGGTGTGTAATACTATTCCCGTGTTTAACAAGTGTGTAAGAGGGATTTGAGTACAAGGTCGATGGTAAAGTATGTATTTTGCCTTTAAAAAAAGATGCCATAAATGTGGAGGACTTGGGCATATACAAGCTGATTGTCCAAACAAAAAGGCATTTACCATCCTTGAAGGAGCGACTGATGAAGAATATTATCATGAAGAGCCACATGATGAAAACTTGGAAGAAGTAGCTGAATATGGAGATGAGGGAGAATACCTTATGATCCAACGAGTTCTTCATTCATATTCTAGCAAGGAAAAACCATGATTGCGACACAATATTTTTCATACACGTTGCACATCTAAGGGAAAGGTTTGTACACTCATCATTGATCCAGAAAGTTGCACCAATGTAGTTTCTGAAGAAATGGTTATCAAATTGGGGTTTGAGACTGAGCCATTGCATAAGCCATACCGCATGAGGTGGCTGGATGAAGGAAGGAATGTACAGGTTAATAACGGTGCCTTATTCCTTTCTCTATTGGCAAGAATTATCAAAATAAGGTCTGGTGTGATGTAATGCCTATGGATGCTAGCCACTTACTGCTTGGGAGACCATGGGAATATGACAGAAGGGCAATTCATGATGGCTTCAAGAACACTTGCTCTTTCGTCAAGGATGGAAAGAAGATCAAACTGCTCCCAATGAACCCTGAAGATTTAAAGAAGTCAAATCCTAAAATGAAGGAGACATACATTACAAGAGCTAAGGTAGAAGAACACTTGAAGGAAGGAGAGGAAGTGCTTGTTGTAGTACCTAAGGAAGTGGAATCTATCACCAAGAAAGAGTCATTAGGAGTCAACGACCCACGACTTCAAGCAATATTGGATGAGTTTCATGATGTTGTTTCTGATACTACACCTTCTTCCTTACCACCAATGAGGTCAATTCAACATCAAATTGATTTAATTACAGGCGCACCACTTTCTAATAAAGCAGCATATCGGATGAATCCAACGCGGCAAGAGGAACTTCAACGAGAAGTCAAGGAACTACTAGATCATGGACTAATAAGGGAAAGTTTAAGTCCTTGTGTTGTACCTACCTTGCTCGTTCCTAAGAAAGATGGATCTTGGCGCATGTGTGTTGATAGTCGTGCTATTAACAAGATCACCGTCAAGTATAGATTTCCTATTCCTAGGCTTGATGATCTTTTGATCAATTACATGGGGCCAAGATATTTTCTAAAATTGATTTGAAGAGTGGCTACCACCAAATTCCAATGAAAGAGGGTGATGAATGGAAGACTGCATTCAAGACTGGCAAGGGATTGTATCAATGGCTCGTTATGCCATTTGGGCTATCTAACGCTCCTAGCACATTTATGAGGCTCATGACCCAAATTTTTCAGTCATACATGGGAAAATTTGTTGTTTATTTTTATGATATACTTATTTATAGCAAGGATGATCAACAACATTTGAAGCACTTGAGGAAGATTTTTGAAGTTTTAAGAGAGCAAACACTTTATGCCAAATTGAAGAAGTGCAAGTTCTTTTCTTAGTTATATTGTCTCTAGTGAGGGAATTCATGCCGACTCGGGAAAGATTGAAGCTATTGCTAGCTGGCCTATTCCAAAAAGTTTAACAGAGATTCGCAGCTTTCATGGTATGATTTCTTTCTATCGGCATTTTATAAAGAATTTTAGCTCTCTTGTTGCTCCTATTACCGAGTGTTTGAAGGGAAACTCGTTTAAATGGATGGATGTTGCGCAAAAGAGTTTTGAATTGATTAAGACAAAGATGACTCAAGCACCTATGCTTGCTTTGCCCAACTTTGATGTAATCTTTGAAGTTGAATGTGATGCTTCCGGAGTTGGGATTGGAGTTGTTCTTGGTCAAGAAGGTAGACCTATTGCTTATTTTAGTGAGAAGTTGAATGATGCCAAGTTAAAGTATTCTACTTATGACAAGGAGTTCTACGCCATCGTCAGAGCTCTATCTCATTGGAGTCACTATCTTTTACCTCGAGAATTTGTGCTTTATTCCGATCATGAGGCCTTGAAGTATGTGAATAGCCAACAGAAACTCAACACTAGGCATGCTAGGTGGGTAGAATTTTTGCAAGCATTTCACTTTGGGTAGAAACTCAAGCATTTCATCATAAAAATTGAATCTTTCTTCCAAAAGAATGGAAATAGAATCAAAAAATTCATCAACACATTCTTCTTGACTCGTTTCTTCATAAAGTTCAAGACTTTCTACCAACAAAGTTAAAGTGGAGTCAAAAGAATCACCACATGCATCATCCCATAAAGGAGGGCTATCATAAGACTCAACATCACCACTAGCTAAAGAGTCATTAAACAAAGAACTAGAATCATCAATAATCCACAAGAACTCTTAGCTAGCTGCAAGTCACAATTATTTTTCTCATCACAAGATAAAGAAATATCAAACTCATCAATAGCATAGCTATCTTTCAAACTCAAAGTGTCACCACAATCAACTAAAGTATCAAGAATAGAAGGATAAGCTATTTTACCTTGAAGCACTTCTAAAATATTCTCTTTACCTTCAATGAATTCCATAAGTTCTCTTGGAAAGATAGATTGATCTTCTTTCGAGCTCTTCAAAGTTGGTTGAATGTCACTTGATGGCTCCTCTCCAAAAGTCCCTACACAAGATACAAAACAGCTAGAGAAAGAAGAAAGTTAGTAGCATTAGAATAAGAAAAATCCTCACTCTCTTTTGTTTTTCCTATTTCTTTTCTCTCATTTTCTTGTCAAGCTCTTCACTCTTTTCCTGTGACAACTCACTCACTTCACTCCATACTTTCTCTCCTTTTTCCACGCTAGAGTTGTCACTTTTCTCTCCCTCACTTCTCGCTTTCTTTTGTCTCTCATCCTTACTTTTTCTCTTTGCATTTTTCAAGGATGTTCTCAAACTCATTTGCTCTTTCAAGACTTGACTTGGTTCCAATGGTTCAAGTGTCACCAACTTGCCTTTCCACTTAAGAGAATAGTGATTCTTCCTTCCTTGATGCAAAACATCTCTATCATACAACCAAGGTCGCCCAAGGATGATATGACAAGCATGTAATGGAACAACCCCACAAATTACTTCATCCTTGTAATCCCAATCATGAAAGGAATCTTCACGACTTTGTTCACTTAAGTTCGCCACAAGCATTCAACTATTGCAACTTACAAGGTCTAGGATGATTGAAACTTCCCAACTTCAACTCTTTCACTAAGATAGCACTCACCAAATTGTCCCAACTTGCTCCATCAACTACCAAAGTGCACATTATATCCAAAATCAAACATCTAGTGTAAAAGATATTATGTTGTTGTGTAAAATTCCCCTTCTTCCTCCATAGAAGTAGACAAAGCCTTCCTCACCAACATATCTTCATCCCTCTTATATTCTCCATTAGAAACTTGTTGGATATTGTCCAACTCATTCAATGTGGTCTCATGATCATGTTGAAAAAGTGGATTGCTAATCATTCGAGGCTCTTGAGATGGTATGGGTAGTGGAGGAGGGAGATTGTCTCTCTTTGGTGGTGCTTGAGGCATATGTTGTGAAGCTAAATTCGGTGGTAGTCTAGGTTGTGGTGAAGTTTAATAAGGTTGTAGTTGATGTACTTGTGGCGGTTGAAATGTGGTTGGGGGTTTTGGTGTTGGTAGTGGGGTGGTGGATAAGTGTAAGGTGTATTGTAACAAGCATCAACAGACACAACTAGGCTTGGCATAGTATAAGCATCATAATCTCCACTTGGACTAGGAGGGCTTGTGAATTGATTTGCACTCCAAACTCCCCTTCCAATATCTTGCCTTGCCAACAACTTATCCTCAAAGTATTTAGGAATGAAGGAATTCCCCTTTCCATTTAGATCAACCACATACCTATTCCACTTTACATCAATTGGAAGATTATGATCAAGAAACCAAGGTTTTCCCAATCGTATATGGCAATACTTCATAGGGTATACATCACACCAAACCACTTCTTTAAAGTCTCCTTTGGTTGTAGTAACCATCTCACCTCTATCCACCCACTCACCCCGAAATTTATACAACTCAATCCCAACCATTCAACAAAGGAAGAAGCAATAAAGTTTGGTCGCATAGTGAGTACTTATAGCAACCAAACAACCCTCATAGCCTTCTAAATTCGCTACATAATGCCTCAAATTATCTTCCTCCCACTTTCATCATAAAAGATTTCAACACTTGAAGAAGCACAATTAGTTTCATAAGAAGAACACACATAACCATCCATGTCTCCCTTATGACTCCTTGTACCTACAAAACAAAACTTAAAGCAAGAAAGTTGGTTAGTCAAAAATAGGACCTCACAATTCACTCCCTTAGTGTATCACTCGATATATATGTCACTCAAAACTCGTGTTTTCACTCAAAGGTCAAAAGCGACCTCGCTCAATTGAACTCACCACTCAAGCCTTTTTCCACACAAGGGTGTCTACAAGTTCTCTTCATAACCAACGTTCTCCAATCAATCCAAGTAGGTAATCAAGTATCAGTTCGGAATGGAATGTATGCGACACCAAAGAAAGCACAATTAAAAACTAACGGACTTGAGCCAAACAATTCACAACGAAAAACAAGAGAAAAGCAGGAAAGAAATGGCACGAAATAAAATAAAGCACACAAAGAAACTAGAAATAAACTCAATATGAAGTTATGAACTAATATCAAGTTAATCTAGTTGAGATTTAAGTTTACCACAAATTGGAAAGAAAGAAATGAAAAGAAACTACAAAAGTAGACACTACTTCAAATTTTGGCCATATTCGCCAAAAAGGACACATTTGTAAAATTGGTCATATTTGCAAAGAATGGCCAAATCTGTAATCATAGTTAGACTTGCAATATTGCGCAGGTTCACAGTACTGGCGGATTTCTTGTACACAAAGTCACAAACTGGTGCAGCCATTCAGATGTAGACTTAGGCCCCGTTTGGCCATGAGTTTTGCCAAAATAAATTTGGGATTTATTTTCAAAACTCATGTTTGACCATAAATTTTGCCCACATTTTGGCCAAAATCCCAAAATCAGCTATTGAGCTGATTTTGGGCCAAAATCCCAAAACTTGGGAATTATATACATGTTTTTCCAAATTATAGTTGAAAAATTTTTGAAAACGTATGTCCAAACACATTTTCATCTTCAAACCAAACTTCACCCAAATCAAATTTTTCAAAATAAATTTGGGATCTATGGCCAAACACCAGCTTAAACTATGCAGACTTCTCAAGAATAGACCAAGCAACTCTCACACACAAACTGCCCAAACCTGAGCTTTTTAACTGGTGCAGAACTAACTGTAAAGTGCAGAAATTGCAGCTTGAGTAGTGCAGTTTTGGCAGTGCAGAAATCCATCTAAAATTGCAGGTGCGCTTGTATCAATCTGTAGAAAAACTGGAGCTAAAACTTGTGCAGAAACATCAGCTCAATAGTGCAGAAAGAGCGCAGATTCCAAGCTAAAACTGTGCATAAACTGTACAGAAACTGCAGTAAAACAACCTTTCACAGCCACACCAAACTTCAGCTGCAATACTGATTCTTCAAGCTCAAGAATGAGTCTCAACCAGTGAAAAAACAGTTGGCAAGTTCAACACAATTTTCGAGCAAATGACTGGTGCAAACATTGTATTCAACAGCTGCAAATACCATGCTCAATTTCTGTAGGTCCTGAAGTTATTTCTAGGCTGGTTCTACTGTGTACCAAGGGGTTTAAAAATTGCAGAAACTAATTTTCAAACTTGCAGCCAAACAAGAACTTGATAGCAGGCAGCTATGATAGTTTGCAGTTCAATCACAATAACAAACTTCAGCTCAATACTCAGAAGTCAAATGCCAATCGACTCTAATGCAGCAACAATGAATTAGGACTTCGTCAGCAGTAGAGAACCATCAAAATGCAACTCGCATTTCAGTTCTAAACAGGGGGAACAATGATAAAACTCAGTTCATACAAATTCAGAAGAGCATCCCAATTTCATGTCGCCAACAGCTACTATCGACTAACAAAAAATAATTCGACAACATTCCTAAACTGCAGTCACAAGTTCTTCAACATATCCTCAAAAAGCAGTCCATGATCGAACTCATATTTCACTACAAATTTAGAGACAAATTTCAGTTTGAACTCAAGGAATCGAACCTGATTCATTGCGACGGTATCTCAGCTGCTCGAATCCAGTCGAATCAGTCCGCGAAGTTCTTCGAGCTCGGCTAAGATTTCAAACTCAAGCAATAATCAACAAGAAGCTCGAGTTGACTTATGAACTCAACTTAATCAATTCCAAAGAATAGCGATGAAGTTTCAGCTTTGAATTCAGAAGTCGAGCTAAGTTTTAATACTCAGAAATCAAAACTGTGCAATCTCAATGAAGAGAAATCAGCTATGCATCGATGTGTAGGGACGTCGCGTAGGCTAGAACTCAATCCCAGAATTTGAAGAACACAGCAGTAAGTTCTTCGGCTGATTCAAGAAATTTTCAATCCAATCTTGTCCAAATCTTCACCAAACGAACCCAACCTTTGGATTCAACTTCCACTAAACAATCCGAGTAAACCCCAGTGACTAATTTGAACAAACATTCACGAAATCAACGAACCCTAGGTCGTCTTCTTCTTCGCACAATCGGTTCAAAATTTCGAACCAAAAACCCCAGCGATTCAGCTTCAAACAATCTCAATCTTCAGATTTTCACCTCAATCAAGCTGTACCAACAGGATTTGAACACACCCCAATCGAATTCGAACTCGAATTTTGTTTTATTAAGAGCAAAACCCCCAAATCTGGTAGCACTGCTCGTCGGTTTAGGGTTCAAATCTCAACCCAAACTTCGAAATTCAGCTCAACTCAGTGATTCAATCTCAGGTAATGAAGTAAGTGTAATGTACTTAATTGAGAAATGAAATTCGAAAAGGAACTGAGCTTTATTGATCAACAATTCAACGATTACAATGTATTTCAACTGACATGAATGAGCTCAAAAGAAATACAATTGGAGTTTAGAGGGAAGGAGAATAAGAAGAAGATAGGAGAAGAGATAGAGAGAGAAAGTTCTGTTATTTGCCAAAAGATACCAACTAGATGTGTTATTTAACTAACTGACCCAACTATTAATTGGACTAATTGAATAAAGACCCAAGGCCCAATACTCTTCTTCCGAAAGCCCAATACGTGAAGCCCAGTAAAACAACCCAATTCTCCCACTTTAGCTATACCCTATTTCCTTGTTTGTATCGTCTATCACTTTCCTTTTCTTGTCTGAACATTACAATACCTCCTCCTTCGAAAGAGACCTTGCTCTCTAGGTCGTTGTTGAGCGATAAACGCCGGAAAATGGCTTTTAATGTAGCCCCAATCCTCCCAAGTCGCATCTTCTTTGCACAAATTTGCCCACTGAACCAAAATTGACTGCAACGGCATTGTTCTCCTTAATCACACGCCTCTGTAAAATGGCAACTGGCTGAATCAAAACATGACCTTCACTGTCACAATCTGGTGGATGCTGCTGAGGGCATATTGATGGTCCAATACGCCGTTTGAGTGGGACACATGAAACTGGGTGGAGGCGTGATTCTGGTGGTAGATCTAAACGGTAAGCCACTTCACCAATCTTCTGCAAAACCTTGTAAGGACCAAAGAATCGAGCACAAAGCTTGACATTTCTTCTCACTTCGATAGATGACTGTCGATAGGGCTGTAGTTTGAGGTACACCTGGTCCCCTACCTCCAAGACTCGTTCAGAACGGAGTCGATCTGCATAAAATTTCATCTGTGCATGTGCTTGCACAAGGTTGTCACGCAGTGCTTGTAGCATATGTTGTCGTTGGGTTAGATTTAACCCAATCGGGCCTTGATGTGTATGTGGTAATGCTCCCAATGGTAGTTGAGTTGGGGGGTGACCATAAAGGGCTTCAAAGGGAGTGATTTTAAGAGAATTATGAAAATTAATGTTATACCACCACTCTGCCAGTGGTAGCCATCTAGTCTAGTGTTTAGGATTCTCAAATACCATAGCCCGCAAGTAGGTCCCTAAACATCGATTGAGTCTTTCAGTCTGTCCATCCGACTGAGGGTGATAGGCTGAGCTCATATTAAGCTTAGTTCCCATTATTTTGAATAAGTGCTGCCAAAAATGACTAGTGAAAACAGATCCTCTGTCTGAAACAATAGACCTCGGAAGTCCATGTAACCTATACACCTCCTTCATGAATAGTTCTGCCACCTCCTGTGCTGAAAATGGATGTTTTAAGGCTAAGAAATGTCCATACTTGGACAGCCTATCCACCACAACTAGCACAGCATTCTTTCCTGTAGAGATAGGTAAGCCTTCTACAAAATCCATAGATATATCCTGCCACACCTGTTCTGGAATAGGAAGGGGTTGTAATAACCCTGGATGTGCACAATTTCAGACTTGATCCTCTGACAAGTATCACATTCACTCACCCATATAAAGATCTCTGATTTCATGTTAGGCCAATAGAAAATCAGCTGCACCCTCCTACAAGTACCATGCTGCCCAGAATGACCACCAAGAGGGGATTGATGCATTGCTTCTAAAATCTTACTCCTTTTATTGTTTCCTCTTCCCACATAGATTTTGTGTTTATAATTTGTTGTAATGAATAATCTGAATCACTGCCTGAAGAGGCAGCTAGTTCACCCAACAATGATAAAGCAATAGGATCCTCTTCATAGCTGAGACTAATCTCTTGTAACCAAGTAGGTTGAACAGTAGAGATTGCCAGTAAGGTGGACTCCTGATCCTGTCTTCTTGACAAGGCATCAGCTACCCTGTTTTCAGTGCCTTTCTTATATTGTACCTCATAGTCAAGGCCTAGAAGCTTAGTCAATCCCTTTTGTTGTAAAGTTGTGGTAATCTTTTGTTCTAGCAAGTACTTGAGGCTTTGATGATCTGTCCTTACAATAAAATGACCCCCTTGTAAATAGTGTCTCTATTTCTCCACTGCAGTTAAAACTGCCATATATTCTTTCTCATAAGTTGATAGTCCCATGTTCTGTACTGAAAAACCTTGCTTAAATAAGTTATGGGTCGACCTTCTTGCATTAAAACAGCCCACATCCCTGTAGAGCAAGCATCAGTTTCTACAATAAATGGCTTAGTAAAGTCAGCCAAGGCTAAAACAGGAGCTGAAGACATGGTTGTTTTTAGCTGATTGAAGGTTGTTTCAGCTTCCTCAGACCACTAAAATGAGTTCTTCTTCTGCTGATAATTCCACAAGACTTGACAAATCACCTGTAGTAACCGGTGAGACCCAAACACCCTCTAAGATCCTTAACAGATCTGGGAACAAGCCAATTAATCATGGCCTCAATCTTAGCAGGGTCAGTAGCTACCCCTGGCCTGAAATAATATGCCCCAAATACTCCACTTGACTTTGACCAAAAGCACATTTAGACAACTTAGCATACAGTTGCTCTTTGTGTAGCACCTCTAATACCTGCCTAAGATGCATCACATGACTCTCCACTGAAGGACTGTACACCAATATATCATCAAAGAATACCAGCACAAATTTCCTAAGGAAAGGCATGAATACATGATTCATTAAACTTTGAAAGGTAGCAGGTGCATTAGTTAACCCAAATGGCATAACCTTGAACTCATAATGTCCCAAGTGAATCCTAAATGCAGTCTTGTATATGTCAGATTCCTTCATTCTAATCTGGTGATAACCAGCCCTCAAATCAATCTTTGAATAAATGCATGAACCATTTAATTCATCCATGAGATCGTCTACTAGAGGCATAGGAAATTTGTCTTTCACACTCATTTTGTTTAATTCTTTGTAATCTATACAAAACCTCCAACTACCATCCTTTTTTTTAACCAATAACACTGGTGAGGAGAAGGGAGAGTGACTAGGCTGAATGGTACCGCTATTAAGCATGTCAGTCACTTGTTTTTCTATCTCATTATTTTGAAAATGGTTATACCTGTAGGGCCTAATGCTAATTGGAGCTGCATCTGATTTGAGAGGAATGAAGTGATCATGACTCCTCTGTGGTGGCAGAGACTTTGGCTCAGCAAAAACTCCTGGAAATTCAGTCAGCAGCCTTATAATTTGTTCAGGTATGCCTCTTCCTTCTGTAGTAGACTGAGTAGTAATTGTGAAGAGATGAGCCCATAACAGTTGGCCCTTCTTGAGTAGCTGCTTCACCCCTGTAGCTGACATACTCTGTAAGCTACCCTCTTCAGAAAAACCTTTTAGTTCTACTCTCTTTCCCTTCAGACTGACCTGTAGTCTATATCCAATAAAATCAAACAATATAGGATTGTGCTTTCTCATCCAATCCACTCCTAAAACCATATCATATCCCCCAATGTCTAACATTCTTAGTTTGTGCTCAAACACAATGCCTTGCATTTTCCATTTGAACTGAGGGCAAGAGTGATAACTCATCAAGTTACTCCCATTGGCAGCTGTAACTGTCATTGGAGCATCTACTTGAAACACACACCCCAATTGTTTTGCAGTTTCACTTGCTACAAAACTATGGGTGCTACCACTATCTGCTAGTATCACCATAACTTGCTTACCATACACTCCTTTCAATTTGATAGTGGTAGAGGTGACTGTCCCAGATAAGGCATTGAGACTTATGGCCTCATCTATTATTGTCTCCTCACTTGGCTCCTCCACTATCCCTTCTTCATCAACATTCATTTCTACCCCTTCTTGTTCAGTAGACCCAGACAACACATTTAACTGCTTATTCTTACACCGATGACCAGGGAAATACTTCTCCCCACACTTATAACATTCACCTCTTGCTCTTCTTGCCTCAAACAATTTGTTGCCCACATTGTAGGAGTTACATCCCCCTTCCTTCTGTTGAAACCCAGTTGTTCTCACTCCTGATTGACCATTAGTATTGTTGTACTGTATTGACTGCCTAGTAATGTTTACTTTTCCCTTCTTAGCTACTGCTTCTAACAACTTTTCTTTGTGTCTAGCTTTCTTCACTGCTTGACTCAAGGAAAAAGGATCAAGCATCTTGACTGTGTGCCTGATTTCATCCTTAAGTCCTTCAATAAAGAATCCAAGGAAGAATTCTTCAGGGATAATGGGATGTTTAATCAAGACCCAAGCCTTCAAATCTTCAAATCTTGCCAGGTAATCATTCACTGACCCTTGCTGCTCAATTCTTTTGAACTCTCCCAAGAGATTAAGATTGCTATTATTAGACTCCTCAAATCTTTTATTGATTTCTTCTACAAATTCAGGCCACCTCACACTACCTCTGCTCAGATGATAAGAGAAGTACCAGGATCCAGCTCTCCCGTTGAGATGAAGGACAACAGCTTCCAACTTCTCCTGAGGATCAATTATCTGATTAAAGTGAAAGTATCTTTCACACTTGCGGAGCCAAGATCTGAAATCACCTTATTCGGAATAAGGAATTTCAAACCTATGCCCATGGTTATTTCCTTGCCTTCTACCAATAGAGTACTCCTTCTGCTCCGCAATCCTGGATCGACTACTGGAACCCTCGATGTGATTGACTTCGACTGGAGCACTCCCCAAGATGCCATCATTGCTTGTGAAGAGCTTGTCCATCATTACATCCAGCTTTCTTCCCACATCATCGATCTTAGAATCATGCGATTCCAATTTTTTATTTGTCTCTGCCATGTAATTTTGTAACTGATTATCTAATTTCTTCACGTAATCTTCATTAGACTTCGAACGAGTTTCTGGAACTGTCGTTGTAGCCAGGAAATGCTCTGGTACCAATTTGTAGTGTACTTAATTGAGAAATGAAATTCGAAAAGGAACTGAGCTTTATTGATCAACAATTCAACGATTACAATCTATATTTCAACTGACATGAATGAGCTCAAAAGAAATAGAATTGGAGTTTAGAAGGAAGAAGAAGAAGAAGAAGAAGAAGAAGAAGAAGAAGAAGAAGAAGAAGATAGGATAAGAGATAGAGAGAGAAAGTGGTTAGGATTCTGTTATTTGCCAAAAGATACCAACTACTCTACTAAATCTGTTATTTAACTAACTGACCCAACTATTAATTGGACTAATTGAATAAAGACCCCAAGGCCCAATACTCTTCTTCTGAAAGCCCAATACGTGAAGCCCAGTAAGACAACCCAATTCTCCCACTTCAGCTATACCCTATTTCCTTGTTTGTATCGTCTGTCACTTTCCTTTTCTTGTCTGAACATTGCAGTAAGTCAGAAGTTTCAGAATCAAAATCGACGGAGATGGAGCAAATTTTTGAATTTTTTATTTTGGAAACAAACAAAGAAGAACAAGGAAATACTATTTTCTATTTCTGAAACCCAAACAACGGATGAACAGTAACAATTACTATATTTGAATTTTATTTTTAATTTTCTGATTTGTTGATAATCAAATTTCAAAACAAAGACCCGAGGATCGATAAAACAATCCAAAACCTCTGCTATGATACCAAAAGATAGAAGATTAGGGTTTAAAATAGAGAAAGACTCAACTAACTATGAACTAGTTAGACCCCTTGAATTTACTATGATAAACACTAATCGAGTGAACACTAATGCGTGTAACCTCAAAATAATCTCATTCCTGAGCCTACGTCGATTAAGTGAAGGTTAAACTTTAACGTACGAAAACGCGAGATGTAACAGTTCATGATGTAATACGCTTTATGTGATAGCATCAAGGACAATGATAGGGTTTTGGAAGCTCCAAGGAGGACATTTACAAGATCTCAGGCTAAAGAATTGCACACTAAGGTTGCTGGACTTTAATGACAAATAAAGAAGCTTTTAATTGTAGAGGAAGAGCTCAAGCCTAAAGGAGATGAATTGTCCAAGTTTTACAATTATTTAGTGGCCCAAATTGAAGTCCAAAGAAGAGGAAGATTGGGTCCCAACATTAGCCCTTGAAGTCCACCAAAAGGGCATCTAGAAGAGATTAAAATGAGCTTAAAAGAGGTCCAAAAGGAGGTGTTTCAAAAAGAGCCCAATTGGAGTCCAAACCAATGGCCCAAACTAGTAGTTTTAAGGCCCAAATCTGCCCCAAAGGGATTTGGCCGCCCACCCTCTTATTTTATTGGGGTTTTGACACAGTTACCCACAAAAACAAAACTATTTACCCTTGTCTACCCATTTTTTTTCTACCCATAAATTAATTATATTTCCTACCCATAGTAATTTCTGTGGGGAATTTTTTCTTTATTCTCCAATTCTTTTTTATTTCTATGCTTTTTTTTCTTTTTTTCTTTTTTCTCGGTTTCTTCTTATTTTTTTCTGTTTTCCTTTTCTAATTTCATTTAACTTCTTTTTTTATATTCTTTTTCTCTTCATAATCTAATTTCATTTGCTGTTTTCACTATTTTTTTAATATTCTTTTTTTAATACTATTACTATAGAAAAATCAAATTGTGTACCAATTAAATGTAACTAATATAACCAAAAAATATTAACTAACATATGATACCAGTATCGTATATAGCTATACCAACAGGATATACAATTGTTCGTAAAGAGTTAAAAAAAAATTAATTCAATTACTAAACTGAAATAATATCAGTTGTTAGTAAAAATTTCAAAAAAATCTAAAAGGATCTAATTGTAAGAGTATACCGTTACATTATGTATCATACTATAATATTTTATTTTATTTTGCATTTTCAATTTACCCCTCACGCTGGGTAAAAGCTTAAAGCAAATTAAAAGGAAAAAGACAAGTGAATTTACGTTTAATAAGTACACTATTATAGTATATTATATACTATTACATCATATTGTTACAGTATATTGCATATTATTACAGTATAGTATAACAATATATTGTATACTATAATAGTATATTGTTGTAGTATAACTATATATTCCTATAATATATTGTATATTGTAGGTATACAGTTAGGTAACTGTGTTCTTTTTCAATTATTACAACATACCATTGCAGTATATTGTAAATTATAATAGTATACTATTGCAGTATAACTATATACTCCTACAACATATTTTATACTGTAGCGGTATACTGCAGCTGTGTTCTTCGATTTTCAACTGAAAATTTCGATCTCAATCACCTCAAATCAGCTCCAAATGCTATCAAATTTCAGTATGAACTTCTAGAAGGTACTACAAGAAATATTTAACAACACCCACTTTGAATCAAACAAGAAATCTTCAAAATAAAATTTTAAATTCAAAGGCCAAGGCAAGAGCAAGAGATAGGGAAAGAACAATCAAGGTGTAAACAAACTAAAAGTTAGCATAAATCGATCAAGACTAATTTTGGAGAAGACTATAGATCTCGTCTTAAAATATTACTCCCTCATATTAAGTGGCCTTGGGAAATTAGGTCATATGTTTCAAACGGAAAAGGGTAACAAATCATTTGAACACGAAATCACAATTCTGTGGGACAAAAGACAGATCGTAGAATTGTTGGCCAAGGACCATATTCTTCTTGTATTGATGAGTATTTATGAAAAGTAATACTCCTGTAGTAGTACAAGAAGGCGTATACAGTTGGAACTTGGAAGTTAGAAGGTGTCGGGTAAATAGTTTGGGCCCCATTGGTAGGAGTAGTAAATAGTTTGGGTTGGGCATTAAAGGGTAAATAGTTTAGAATTAATGGGCATAAACTGGGTTTTTCTCTATTTTATTAGGTTTTCTAGTATTTAGCTTAGCTTCCAAGTTAGGGTTTGCCTTGGCAGCCACCCTACCTAGTTTTAAGGACTTTTTACTCCTATAAATAGTAGTTCTTTTCATTCATTGTGGTACTTCATTACTGATTAATAATATTATACTTTGAGAGTTCTTTTGAACCTTTGTTATTTCTGCTTTGAGATTTATCTTTCAACCTTTACTAGTTCATAGCTCAAGGTAGTAAGATAACTTCTTTATGTGATATCATTAATTCCTTTGTGGTGAATTTCTTAGAAGGCATTGAATACTAGTTATTAATTGTTGTCTCAAGTAACTCGTAAAGCGGTCAAGATCCGAATCTATTGTTTTTGATTTGTTCTTAAAAGGCATTTGATTTCTTCAATAAATCAAAACTTTGTTGCTTGGATCTTGTCAAGGTTATAGAACTTGCGTTCTTGGAAGTTCTTGGAATTCTTTCCCTGAATTTTCCCATATCCTTTATTTTCTGCACTTTAATTCTAGTCGTTCAATTTCTTATTGTTATTGCTTCCGTATTTACTTCTTAAATTCTTGCTCTAGTTTGGATTCCCGACCTTACTGTTATCATATTATCTTAGTATGGCTCCCAAATGGTGCACTCTAAAATAGTACAACTAGATATGAGTACTACGAAGATGAGCACTGAAAGCCTGGAGGGGATAAATACTATGTTAGTGTGTCTCGTCCCCAGTAGAGAGAGAATATTAGGCAATCCAAAGAGCCAATGGATGTAGCAAACGGGAGTTAAAAGCAAAAGAATAGTTTGTTGCAGTTTTCTGAATAAAGTGATAGACAGAAATGTTAACAGGAAAATAAGAAGAGAGTTAATGAAGCATTATGAGTACAATGTGATACATGGATGACAACGGTAGATAAAAAAGATGAAAGTATTATGGAGTATATAGTCAAGTGAAAGAAAAGACGAGAGGAGCCAGGCCTTGAGACAACAAAAGAGTATAGGCCATAAAGTCATATCCTCGTTTCGAGAAATAAGTTCGTGACTCCAACGCAACTACCAGAAGGGAGAGATAAACCCAAGAGTAATAAAAATCAGTATGGGCTGGTGAACAAGATAAACTAAACATTTAGGGGCTGGGTGATTTGATAATAGTCAGCATCATGAGAATTTAAGATTGCATTCCGGCGATATTAGAATGGACAACAGAAGAAGACTCATGAGAAATTCAGAGTATTGTCATTTAGGAAGACGCTTCCCTAAAGCAAACAATGTGAGCAAAGTAAAGCTTAAGGGACTGTATGTACCAGTTACACTAAGTGTCACCATTGCGAGTAAGGAATTTTGTTATCCTTGGAATAGAAGGATTACCGCAAGGCGAGTAAGGGTCATTAATGATGTGAAAGGATGCCAAAGATGAAGGGGTAAAACATCTATAGGTAGGTCGTTGTGACGACCCGGCCAGTCGTCTCATGAGTTACCGCTCCGTTTCCCCCATTTCTGCTTCTTTATGCTTCGTTATCCGTGTTTTATGTGATCAAGTTGATTAGTTTGCGTTCGAAGTGGATTTGGTAAGAAATGAGACACTTAGTCTCTTTTAAGAAGGTTTAAGTTGGAAAAGTCAACCGGATGTTGACTTATGTGTTAGAGGGCTCGGATGTGAGTTCCGATGGTTTGGTTAGCTTCGGGAGGTGATTTATGACTTAGGAGTGTGATCGGAATTGGTTTTGGAGGTCCGATGTAGAATTAGGCTTGAATTTGCGAAGTTAGTATTTTGGCGAATTCCGATTGATAGGTGAGATTTTGATTCGAGGGTCGGAATAGAATTCCGAGAGTTGCTGTAGCTCCATTATGTCATTTGGGATGTGTGTGCAAAATTTTAGGTCATTCAGACGTGGTTTGGTTGGGTTTTTGATCAAAAGCATGTTTCGGAAGTTTTTAGAAAATTTAAGCTTGAATTCGATGTGAATTGGTGGATTTGATGTTTTTTGACGTGTTTTGATGATTGGAGAAAGTTTGAATGGGGTTTTAGGATGTGTTGGTACTTTTAGTTGAGGTCCCGGAGGCCTCGGGTGAGCTTCGGGTGGTCAATCGGACCATTTTCTAAGTTGAAAAGTTGCAGATTTTCAGT